TCTGTGTTTCGTAGACTGACTCCCTCCATTTCAGTGTCATAAAGGTGTCAGCCAACATTTCTGAAGCTGCGCTAAGACTTCTATGGAAGAGAAGACTCCAAAGTACGTACAGCTTTTGGCCCTCCCTCAGGAAAAGGCTGATTGGGGAGTGCATTGCATGTTGTTGGGCTTTTTGCATTTTTTAATGACTCATGAGTTGGACCTTATTTCTGTTCGTCTTTCAGTGCCAAACAGAAATTGTTATTTAGGTCAAACTGCTGTTTTGGTACTAATCGAAGCAGACATCAGTTTTGTCTGTGGATTTCATAGCTATACATTCTTTCAAAGCAAAGTTCCCTCTTTAGGCTACTGTTGACATTCAGCTGTGCTGGACTCACACACTGGCATCAGCACTATTTTTGCTGCATTACCCGCATATGCCCAGTCAAGGGATGCAGCAGCAGAGCTTCTGTTCAGACGTGGTTCCTTTCTGTTCATACAGGTTCTGGGTATGTCATCTCCTCCTCCCATTTCCTGCTTTCAGGCTGCTGCACTGTCCTGGCTTTTGCGTTCTGGCTCTTCTCTCCATTGGTGTGACGCTGCATCCTGTTGGTGTAACTGTGTATAGAACTCCTGTGGATTTCCTTCAGTTCTTATCAGCTGAGGATCTTGCTCCCCACCTCTGACTCAGGCACTGAGATGTCTAAAGATGGATCTTCAAGCCTGCTTTTGCACAGGTAGTCAGATCCTGAGCTACAGCTGAAGGTATGGGCTGAAGGAGAAAGTAGAAGAAACGGCATTAAGCTACCTTGAAAGTTCTTCTGTATCTGTATTACTTTGTTTGCTCTGATGTAAAAAATACTTTAAACATCAACTGCTTAGCAGTTATTCCAGGTTCTCTACTAGCAATTGAGGTCTAGAAAGCCAAAAACACCTTTTAAAGCTGTTTCCTTCCTCCCCATCCTCCTTAGGCTTTCCTGTAGGTGACAGGAACCTTCAAATGATATGTTTAGTTCTGAGAGGTCTTTGCACTCAGGAACAGCACAATTGAGGATTCCCTGAGATTTAATATTTACTTAAATAGATGACAGGATGGTTTCCGTGAAGTTTTCCAGTCCCTTTCAGATTGATCCTCTTTCACAGTACATACATGACACAATCCAACACTGTTCTTTGTCTTGAGCCACTGCAGTCTGCCCTTCTTGTTCTTCGTTTTTGTGTTTGTTTTTGTTTTTTTTCTAGTCAACTATTTTTCCCAACTTGAGTGTCTGGAACAACTGATGCCATCCTGAAAGCCGTCTGGTAACAGAGGGATGTTCTTACATGTTTTCCTATTTTTTCTCCTACCACTCATCGGTTGGAATTGATATTCATGCTCTGAATTAACAGAAGTTAGCTGCACCACCCACATTTCATCATGACTGTACATATGGTTCAGCTCTAACAACAGGGATGAGTTTTTATTTAGTAACTGGATGGGGGCATTTCAGTGAAACTCACAGGCACACCAACCCAAGGCTACCAGCCATCAGTTGTGTGTGGATGGTTCTTGTCCTGTGACTGCAGTCTTAGGGTACCCAGCCTTTGGCTGATTTCTTTGTCTTTCCTGTAAGTGGCTGCAGGTGTGTGAGGGAGAGAGCATGCAGCTGGTCAGAGGATAATTACCTTTGCAGGCCTTAATCATAGGGAATGATGCTAGCATAGGGGAGAACAGGAAAGCACCTTGAGTATGTGCATGAAATCTCTGCTCACAACATAGACTAGCTCCATTCCATGAGGCTCATCTCTGGCAGGGAAACAGAAAGGACACTGCTCAGGCCTCAGGAAGAAGAGATAAGTTCTACAAACCTAATAATGACCTGAACCAGGATAAGCTCATCCCTAAACATCCCATCTTTGTTCTGCAGCCTCTGGATTTACTAAGCCAGGTCTTCTCTACACAGGCAAGTTTCTACTTTGCTTCTCACATGACCTAGCCAGCTTTCTCCCTTTCATCTTGATGAACCTTCACATCTCTCCCATTTGTGCTCTCACTGTAACTCTTCCTGTGGAGTTTTCAGAACAGCGTGTGCATCTCGTTGCCCCTCACCTCAGCAAGGGGAGCTGCAGTACAGAGGTCACAGCCTAGTACCATTTTCTGCTAGACTGGTTCACCTGGATGTGGCTGCCAGCTCCCACTGTGCAGCTGGTTCCCAGCCAGCTCCCAGGAACTATGAGAGGGGCAAAGTAAAAATTAAAAACAGGAGAAAGCAACAGCAGCAAGACTTGTTCTGAAAAAAAAATGGGGAAAAATTGCTGCAGGCAGGCATGCTGGTGTGGGTTGTGGCTTCTGCTCCTGTTCAGAGGACCAGGGTGATGCACAGTGGGCAGGCAGCCCGCATGTCCTCCGCAGTGCAGTGTAAAGGCTCTGGGAATCCCCCAGGGAAAGAGAGGTGGGTCAGAGGGATGAGCAGGAGATGGTTGGCAGAAGAAGGGCTCTGCTAAGAGCACTTCAGGGCCTGTCAGCGACCAGTGTGGAAGCAGCATTGGATGACTGCTAATGCCAGTCCTGCCACCAAGAACAGCCCTCCTTCCACTTCACCCTTCCACTGCTGTACTCATGGCCCAGTACTTGGTTCTTGAGTTTTTTCACATAAAATCATTCTTTCTGGGCTGGCAGACCAGAAGTCCTCCTTCCCCTCCCCACTGTCATACACTCTCCCAGCACTTACAGCTGCTTTCTCTGAGAGCCCTGGACTCAACACGCTCCTACAGCCTGTGTTCTCGGAAGTCTTATTTATGGATGCATCTAAATAAGATACAGATTTATTAATTTGCATAGGTGCCAGACACAGAGGTGCACAAAACTGGGCAGGGAGACCCAGAAGGGGGGTGCTGCAACTGAGAGAAGATGGAGCCCACGCTCATCTCTCAGTAGCAAGGCTGATGGCCAAGGGAGATGGAGTTACACCAATCCAGAGGCAGCCTCAGATCAAAGCTGTGAAAGGAGTTATAAAGCTATTCTGCTTGCTGCATGCACTGCTTTGCTGTAAGCAAAACTTTCTCAGTGGTCACACTGCTATGCATGAGAAGCTCTGGAAAGGAACTGGGTATGAGATACCACTGTCAAACTGTTGGATTCAGCACTGATAGCTTTGCATTACCCAACTCTCACCTCCTCCCCCTTTGCAGATGTCCCTGCACCAGCCCGGTGCTTTAAGTAAGTAATAAAGGCAGACCTGTGCAATGACACCCAGGTGTAAATGAAGATGGCCCTCACATGTGTGAATTCAGCTCAGCCACCTGGCAAAAGACAGCAACTTTCTATGATTGAGATATCTTTGACTGTTTTCAGCAAAGGTGACATCAGCAGAGGAGCTTCATCAGAGCTCTGCAGACACTCAGCTCCCTAGTGAGAGCACCTGCGTAGGGCTCAAGATGTTATAAGTTGTGTTGTCTTCATGCCTTCAGAGCGATTCATCTTAAATCTCTCAAGGGGCAACATGGCAAAATTTTGCTAAAAAAAACAAGGGAAATTTTGCCTGTCAGCCCACGACAACTCTGACGAATGATTGTGGAGGCACCTGTTAACAGTGAGGTTACTTACATCCTCTTCATTTTCACTGCTTCTCTTTGTTAAGGCACACTGGAAATTCTGCTGTTGGAGGATGACAGCAGTTTGGGGATGTGGTTATCTGCCTCCACTTGCTGCACTCTCAGCACTCCCTCTCAATGGCTGAGTGGGATGGCAAGAAAATAAGGAGGATGTGGCTTCTGAAGTCTGAATCGTGACAGTTTTCACCCAATGCTCTTATCTGCAGTAATTAAAGAATCCAGCCTGTAATAAGTAATTAGACTGTAGCCTGTCTCAGACTCCATGGGCTTGCACTAGCTTCTTAAATTTCAGGACTACTCACAATAATCAAATTAAGTTTATTTTTTGTGGAGGGTTTTTTGTGGTTTTTTTTTGTTTCGTTTTTAATCCACTAATCTGATACTAAATCAAGGGCCGAACTGAATAGTAGCATTTTAAAAGTCATTCTGTTACTTCCGTTTCCCTTTATATTTCTTCCCTGTGAGTACCATGCTCAGTCTTTTGTAAAACCTTGCAGCAGGGTTAGGTACAGGCTGTGTGCTGGGAACTGTGAAGATATATGAGTGAACATATCCCAGCAATCTGATGTGGGCTGTTCCAACCTGCCTTGGGACAAAGAATGGATTAGATGGCCTTCAGAGAGCCCTTCCAGCCCTTTTTTCTCCACTCTTTATAATATGTATGGGAACACGGTGACCATAAAAGAGATGGTTGACTCCTGCTTATGCAGATTTATTTCCAGTTGGTAAACTGATTAACTATATGTGTAAACATATCAAATAAAAACAAACAAACAAAAGCCTGAGGACTGTCAAGTATGTACCTCAGAGCTTTGCTTTAGATACTAGAGCCAAGATTAATATTTCTTCTCAGATCAGGCTGGAGTGTGTGGAAGGAAATTGTCACCATTTGTCAGTTTTTACCCGAGATCTATCTGACTGGAGCTGCAGTTGGTACAGGGCAGAGTTGGGTCCCTTCCTTCCCATGCCCACGTACAGTAGGTGAATAATGCAGTGAATGATGAGCACTGGGACCAGTGGGCCCCATGAGATTCCTCTTGGTGATCTGTGAGCCGAGTTCAGCTCTGTCTGGTGATAGGATTATCTCAGTCCCTGATCAAGACCAAACAATGATGCACTACACCCACAGATATTTCCTATGAGAAACTGTGCTTGCAGCCTGAAGTTCATGCTGTGCTAAGCACTAAATCCAGTAGTGTGTGCAGATCAGATATTACATTAATATCTAATCCTGTGTGTAGCTGGACACCAAGCTCAATTCATTTATACACGTAAGCTTCACTTTAAATTAACGATGACCCTGTGCCACATTTTCTCACGTTGAAGATTAGCTGACGCATCTGAACTGGGAGTTACTGCAGTATTAATCATTTTCCTGGCTACTGCTTAGCTTATCCCTGAAATTCATCTTCAGGCTTTGGACCACCTTTACCCTGGAAGCTGAACAAAACTGAAATGCAACAGTCTCAAATTCTGTCATAGCAAATCTTAAACTGCCTACATCTCATGGAAAAATCTGACAGGTGCCTTATTTGGAACTGCTCTGGTTTAGGTATGTCATTCAATTTTGTTCCCTTAATACTTTTTTTTTTTTCTTTCTTTCTTTCTTTTTTTTTAAATGAAAACAGGGTTATGGTTTAGGATTTAATCTTCTGTGGATTGCTGAGTTCAATCATAATCTCTGACTGCATCACAACTAGCGGGGACATCATCTTCAGAACATCAGAATTGAAAATGATCTTTCTGTCTTTTTTTTTCTCTGTAAAGGTCTGAAAGCTAAGCAGAAAAGCAATGAGAAAAGCCTACCTTCGTTTCACTGTTGTGTCACGCTCTAAGTTTTCTCATCCTTTCTAAACACTCTTAGTCTGAATTGATTCTGTGGTATTGATTCTTGGAAAACTGTCTGTAACTTTGAGCAATATATTAAATAACAAAAAGGATCTGGGTGCATTAATTAAAAACAAAACAAAACAAAACAAAAAGAGAACTATTCGTTACGTAATCTACGTAACAGCAGAAATTCACTGCTGTCAGGAGGCAGTCCAGGTTACAATACTGCACTTGCTTTTCAGTTCTCCGTGCTAACCAGAAAAGACGATAATGACCCTGCTGTTGTCTCTCCCAGTGCAGGACAGCACATAGGTATGAAATACTGGGCAGGAACAACCCATAACTTTCCAGGAGTGACTGGAGAGCTGACTAAAGAAGCCAGTAAAAGATGCACTTTGACAACATACGGAAGAAAAAGCTAGTGGCTTATACCAAGGGTTATTTATATTTACTACCAGAAAGAGTAGTGACAGCACTCTGTCATCTGCCCCAGCTGAAACGGTGCATTATGTATATTGGCTATATAGGGAGGTTTTACTGAAGCTACCACAAAGGGGATCCCAAAATAAACCAAACCAGCCCTTCCCCATAGAGCTGTTTTTCACTGTTGTGGGAAGCAGTTGGCATGGAGGGCCAGTGCACCATGGCAGTGGCTGCCTAGGTGGAGGCTGCAGGCTATGTGGTGTAGGGCCTGTAGTTTCATGACGTTTGTAAGTTAAAGATATGCAAAAAATGTTTAAATCCTCCCGAGCAGTAAGATAACAGATGAATTAGCTCCATTCCAACAGCTAGTTGGAATTCCTTAGTGTTAACAGCATTGGCATAGGTACTAAATTATTCAGGTTGTTTTACAGAATAATCTGCACTGTATTTACATGTATTCTAAATATTTTATTTAAAATACTTTGATACAGCTTTCCATTTCAGTTGTGCTTTAGTTTCCCTTCATCTCTGCTGTCCATGAGAGGTTGCTTTACCGTAATTAAAACTAACCCTTACAAAATGCATTTATCCAAAATGGTTCCCTAGAAATTTTCTCCTCCACAGAATATATTACCCTCCTGGTACCGCAGCTGGGGGCCAATCTGCCCAGCCGGCATAAAGAGGGATGATTTAGGTCACTGAGCTCCAGCTCTTGGTTAGTGCTTTTTGCCATTAAATGCTTCAGAAATTAAGGCATACCAGAAAACTCACTTGAATCGCATTTTAAAAAGCATTTTCCACAAGTAACTATGTTAGCAGACATTATTGTCACCAGAAAGCCTCTGCTAATCTTGCAAAGCATCTGCAATGAATAATCTTCCCCTCCCCCATTCTTATTTGCTGCCAGAAACAGCTTATAAATGCTTACTTGAAATCTCTGCCAAATTTTGTTTTTAGGCATGCTGTTGTAAATAGCGAGTATTTCCACCGATCTGCGTAGGATCCCTCTGGATTTACACGGGTGCGAATGAAACCCAAATTTTGCCTGGTCTGTTCTCAGCTGCCCCTCACTGCCCTGCAAGCTGCAGTGCTGCCGCCACTGCCGCTGGTGGAAGGCAAGAGCTTGAGCTCAGCCTGTCCATCGCTGACAAATTATTATAAACAGATTTGAACAAATATTTCTTTACAAAACAAACTGGTCAGCAGGCTCCAGGCTCTATTCTCCTGATGCATTTTACAGGAAATAATATCAAGTTAGCTATTATGAAACTACCCCCTCCTCACACACACGTAATTGCTTCCAGCTTTCTGATTATTACCCTTTCCTTAACTGATAGGGTGAGAAGAGAAATAAAAATATCTCCATACAGTGGGCCAAATCCTCATCTGGTATAAATCGACATAGCCCCATCAAAGTCAATAAAACCACGCTGATTTACACCAGTTGAGGAGTTGATGCACTGTAATTTTTTACTTGCTTTTAAAAATAAAACCTTACGTGATTGTGTAACCAACATTGCAACAGAAACCAGCATTTCCTTTTGTGAACTCAACGTGTGCCCTCAACTTTCAAACATTTTCACTTAGATAGTCCTACAGATATTTTCCCCCACCTTCTGCCACAATGCTCCCATCGCACTTTTACTGGGCCAGCATCATCAGAGAAGTGCAAACTGTGCTCAATGAGAGTCAGACATAAATTAGTATTTTTACAGAGTAACGAGGAGAAGAAATGACATTCTGCCACTATTCTTTCACACAGAAGATGGAAAAGAGGTAAGTAAAGCAAAAGATAAGACAATTGTTTTCTCTATTGGCTTTCTCTCTGGTCCCCACAACATTCTCTAGCTAGCTGACATATATTAGCATTACCAAGCAATTAGTATTATCCAGGAATGACAGTGTTGTAAACTACTATTATAGATTAACTTCCTTTAAGTCATCTTTAAAATATACAAGATGTACAAGGTTTACTGCAGCTGATAGAAACTGCGTGCTCTGCTTGGACAACATGAGGTTTCTAAAATCTCTCTTCAGTCTTCACTGCAGGCTGTTAAACACATCGTGGATCTTTTGGGAACGCTCTGTCTCCTGTTCTGATCAAGAGTATAAGTTATAGAGATGCTCTATGGCAAATCTTTTACATCAGTTGTGGGAGCTGTATGCATTGCAGTGTGGTCTTTCTCAAAACTGTCAACGTTTTGACTGATTGTTTTGATTGATTTGTATGTTCAGCAGTTCATGACAATTTCAAAAGCATCCTGAAAAATCTGAACATTTATTGTTAATGTCAACATAGCTTTGTCTTCGTTCAGCAATGGCCTTTATATAATATATAATTATTTATTAATGTTTATTATTATATTTATTATTTATATAATATTAATAAAACTTACATTGATTAATCCTTGGTAATTATCAGCAGCTAATAGCATGCTGGTAGTTCTGTGAAAGTTAATGATGCTGTTTCTTTGTAGGTTCATAGCCTGTAATTTCAAACAGCTTTATTGTGTACTTTAACATGTTAAGGTGCAATAAAAAATTGCAGGAGTGTATATTTCCAAACAATTTGTGCAAAATCTGGACAAGGTAAAGCTCACTTTAAAATGCACATTCCATTGCTTTGCATAACATCTTCAAAATCATTCTATAATGTCTGAAATTTAGTTGCAAAGATTGATTCAGAATTTAGTTGTATATTCTGGTCCGTGTTTTAGTATCCAATTTTTAATTCATAGGCAAGTCTGAAATGCATTCAGATTTGATTGTAAAGCTTCTTGTGGTAAGACTTGAAAATTTCCTCATCACATTTGGAAGGCACCACTGCACTATTTTGATATTGTTTTGATTTGGAAAAAATATCACAGATCTCTTATTTCTATTAACCTGGGAGACCTCTGCTTTTGGGGTCCTACTTTTACTGTAACCTCTTTTTTGTAGTGAGGATTTGTCACCTGGTTGAATGAATGACGAAGACATGGATGTATGGATGCAGAAAAATCCAATTCAGATTCTTCATTAGCCGTCTGTTTCCATGGCAAGATAGGACTTGAAAATACAATCTAGTCCCTGGAGAAAAGAGTAGTTCCCCAAGTACCCCTAAAGCAGATATTTATAGGCATCCACTCTCCAGATCTGGGCAGAGGAAAGTAAAATAAAGCACATACAAACTGGCAAACACTTTCCAGTCAGTCGGGACTAAAAGAGTAGCCCAGCCTGTAAAGGAAGACAATGGTAGATCTTGCCAAGTAGTTCTGTCACAAATAGGGTACAACAACCTTGCATAACTTGGGCAAGAAGCATCAAGTCCTGCTGGGGATAAACAAAAGTTATTTGAAATGCCAGGTCCTGTCCTCCCTGGTGCTGAGAGGGGCAAACAAGTCCTTCCCAATTGAAGCTGCACAAGGAATCGAGCAGAGTTTTGCTTCCCTAGGAAGTGCAGTCATTGACAGGGCAGTGGTTGAAGCTTGCTGACTCTCAGGAGGAGATGTCAGGGTCTGGAGGAGGCTTGCTTTCAAGCTGCGAGTTTAATAGCCCAGGAAAGCCCTCTACAAAGCTGATCCCCTTTCCTACATGACAGCAAGAGCAATAGCAATATGGAGGTGCCCACAATCGTAGGGCTTGAGCTTTTCCTGGGGAAGTCACCACTTGTTCTTTGAGGAAGTGATGTCAGCCACTATCGAGATGGATGAGTTGGAAGCTGAGTCCCCACAAACCATTTGCCTGCAGGTTGGAGATGGGAGCCCAGATCAATGCAGTGCCCTGTTCCACAGAGCCTTGCTTAGGCATTGACTGCCAAAAGCTCATCAAAGCAGGGTGTTTCCAATGAAATGCTTCCAGCTCTGAGCTTGTTTCAGCAGAAAATGAAAATCTAACCAGCTACAACCCCAGCTTCCTTCCTCCAAGTCATATAGAATAGGCACAAAAGATTTAGGTAATGTCTCAGACTTGTCTTTGTTTTTATCTGTAGCAAAACTTTTATGTTTTTCCTAAGTATGGCAACAAAGATTGAAAAAAAAAAAAAGCATGGCACTGCCCCACTGCCTTGCCTTAAGTATGCTGGAGTTTTGTGGCATCTTTAGACTGGATTGTTGGCCTTACAGACTAGGGAAACCTGAAAGTGTACTGGATATGAAGTCAAAACAGCTTGTTACCCAACTTGCTTTCTTTCACAGAGTACTGAATTATTAAGAACACAGGCAAATAATGCTTAGATACAGCTTTCTTTGTTTGTATGGAGTTGCATTTGTTTGTTTGAAGCCAAGCTGGGTGGAGAATTTTGCATTTTATGTCTTCGCGTGAATTGTGTGGCTCTGAAATGGGAATAAGATAAGATCACAAACAAGTAAAAACATGTGTAGGCTGAAAAATCAATATGTTTCAAAATAATCGTTGAGTAACAAATTATTCCTGTATTAATGTGCTGAAAACTAGGTTTAGTATTCTACTATGGCTGATAGTGCTACTAACATCTAATGCAGTACTGCCAGGGATTAGATCTGCCTTCATAGTCAGATGTTAATCATGCCACCATCTAGAAGTAAGGTACTCAAAAAGCTGATAGTGGTAAATGCAAAATAAGGATTTTTTGAGCTTCCCATTCTTTGCATAATAATTAGGTTTTAACAACAATAGTTCTTTTTAATCACTAATGCTGAGGTCAGCTCTTTCCATTTACTCTGAAATTTTCTAATGTTTTAGCTGAATTATCCAGAACAGCTACTCCCTTGTTAAAGATGTTCCTGTTTTCCAGTTCAGGGCTCAACGTCACTGTCACTGAAAGGTGGCAGAATTCCTGCTAACTTAATCACATTCAGACCTATACCATGCCTAACATCAGAAAGCCATTAATAACTAGCTTATGCCAACCAAAGTCTGGTTTGTCTGTGATGACACATCTAAAAAATAGTTTCCTCTGAATGAAATCTATGTTTCTGTACTGAAGTATTACTTGCTGGAAGCCACTCTTTCAATAATCCTTACAATTTTGCTCAAACACCCACGGCCCTTGAGAAGCACCTGAAGAAGCTATTCCTAGCATGATACAATTCAGGAATAACTACAGACAATAACTAAAAACTGTAGACTACCAGCAATGTAAAGATTTAGTTTGCCTCCAGAACCCGGCATTTCTTTTGTTCAGCCCGTCCTTTGCTTAGAACATTCAAGAATGCTATGGGATTTGAACACTTGACTTTTCAGATATAATCCTAACAATCCAGTCTCTGTGCCTGGTACATAATTCACTAAGACAGAATTAAACATTCCCTGTTTATATTTCTCTCTATATGTTGAAGTCTTCTGGGTGCTGGATTTGTCTACAGGTCAGCCATATATGTACTGTAAACATCTGAGTATTTATAATGCAGAATTCCTCAAATTCTCAATACCTTAGATAATGATTGACTTTTTAAGAAGATTCACATGGAATTGTAGTCTCATGCTCTCTACAGGTACGTATTTATTCAACAGCACTCTTTACAGAAATGCTGTTGACAGGCAAAGGGGCAGACTGCTGAGCTCAGAGGCTGTGGGAGCACTGTGCTAGGGCAGCTGGGGTGGGAACAGTGAGCCGGGGTGCTGTTAATTCAGACCTTCCACGTAGGCAGAGTGACTCAAGCAGCCTATCAAGGCACACCACGTGGAGACTTACTTTTCATTTATTCATTTTAAATAACATTTTTAAGTGTACTTGGCTTGTTTATATAGATGTTTTCTAGTTAAAAAAATATATATAGTTCTACGTGAAAGCATTCAAACAAAAAGAAAAACAAGGAAATCTTTCCAGTGGAACTCATACTGACAGTGCTCCAGATGGAATTTGGACCATAGGCTTGAACTAAGAGCGTGTCAGAAGTTCCCAGTGCAGTTTCTTTGGTTTTTATGACAAGGGTGAGAAGTGCAGATTAAGACTCACAAAAGGAAAATCCCTACATGTTACATTAAATTGCAGAGGAAAAAGAAGAAATAATAATAATAACAGAAGAATGACCTACTTTCTAACCTATTTAAACTATTTTCTTCTACATGCCCCCTAAGTTCTGACTGTATTATCTTGGATATTTTTAAACAGCTGTGAAATCACTTGTTACTTGCCAATTACAGTTTAACTTTGGATAATCAGTGACCACAGCCACTCTGGAAGAAGAAAAACAAGTTGGTAGCTGTGACTATGTGTTAAAAGGGATGTTTATGACTGGATGATTAAGAACAGCCGTTTGAAGGGATCAAGTCTGGCAGCAAAGGTAAGGCCAGAGACAGTGAGTGGGACCGAAATGTCATACCGAAAAGCATACCGAAATGTCTCGTCTAAAAGAAGGTACAAGCTTCTTGGAGTGCTGGGAGCCTTGTGCACATAGTGTTGATCCACCATAATTCCCAAGGGAGTGGAGCTTTCTGGCTTGGAGAAACAGGAGTGAAACTTTAAGTCTGGTCATATTTGGAATTCTTTGTTAGACTGTGGCTTGATCTCATTCTAGGAAGGCTCATTGTGTTACGTTTGATCCTATCACTTAAAGATTGGTAACTCTTCGATGTCTGTACCGTGTCATGCCAGCTGTTTGCTCTACATCTGGGATCCTTCTGGAGTCGTGGTACTGTACAGCACAGTTTGATTAGATCCTACAGCTGATCTCCCAGCACTCCTAGCAGTCCTCCAGTTCTCTCTTGATGCTCTAACCCAAGGCAGGATAGCCTGTAGCATCTCCCCATTTGCTGAGGCAGAATGGCACAAGAGCACACCCTGGGAGAGGAGAAAACACTCCTGGGGACAGGCTGAATAACAGAGGTGGGAGGATAAAGTGGCCAACCTTTGCAAGAGCAGGAATCTCATTTCATGGACTTCTTGTCCAAGCCTTTCAAAGGTTAGTCCTATTGTAAAAAAAATCTGCTTTCCACCCCAAAGTAACACCATTCTGTGTACCTTCGATACTTGTGTTGGATTTTCTTAGACGTGGGCTATTAAATCCATCATACCTTAGACTACCAAATTGATGGCTAAAAACACAAGAGAGCTGTATTCAAAGCAAAAAGCAAAATACAGTGTGTCATTAGCAGAATCCAAACAGAATTCATAAAGTAATACAGATATGATCTTTGTTTTTCCCAACATGATAATGTGTGCCTTGCTTGAAACGTACCATAATGCACCATAATGTTTAGAATAAGAAAACCACTTATGACAGTACTTGATGGCATCTGCCATTACAAGATACTTGAAAGCATTCTTAAATACTATAAATATTGCAATGAACTCTGACTTCTGTCTCTCTTGAAAAGTCTTTATAACATCAGAGCAAGCTAACTTTTGATGTACGCTACTGCTGTAAAACTGGATATGACAGTCCAGTGCTCAGTTGTGTTTCTGATTGATAAGAATGCACTTTAAGTAATACAGCAATTTTTTTTTCTTGTAATAATCTAAATTCTGAATTATTCCAGAACTGGGAATTCTAAGAAACTGATGTGTTCAAAGATGTAAATAAATATTAAAAAGAAGAGAAAACTGTAAAGGAAATTGCTAACAGATGTTATAAATCTAGCACAGAGTATCTTGTAGAATATTCTATATTTTTTATTCTATGTTTTTAAAGTTGGGCTTTGACAAACAAGGTGAATTTCTCCCTGTATAGTTAATATTTATATACCACTCACTTTCCTTGCAGACTGTCAGAAGAGAGACTCAACTGAACCATTTGCACAACCTTTTTATTATCTTTCCATGAGACAAAGTTCACACAGAGAGATAAGGAGATAGAGCAAATCAGAAGGTGAGTTCTGAAATTATCAAAAGAGTACTTTCAGTCAGGAATCTCTGCTGCCTTCTAATTTTTTGGTTGTCATATTTTCATCTTTGTTACAGCTTTGCCATTCAAAACATGGTACCAACAAAAATCTTTGCAAACAGGGTTTCATGCACCTGCAAGAACAGGGGGCATCATCATCACTTACACCAGTGAAGCAGCTGTAAACCGTTTAAAATCAGCATCTCTTTCAGGTGTCTTTGTTCTTTTCTCAGTTAAACATGGAAGAGCCTGCGTTTGGAAAATCTTTGCTGCTATTTCATTTTCCTAAGGAAACCCAGTAAGTTTATGCTATTTCTAGATTTTGTGGTGCGTTACCTAGTTCACTTCAAGTAATTATAAACTGCTCTCTGTAGGCCGCTTCATTGCAGCAGCAAGCTAGCTAGCTTAGTTTGAGGTGCAGTGTTCCCTTTTCCTGGTAACTGGCACTGCCTGTCTCTTAGATGTACACTGAGAGTTGCTCCAACTAAACATCTGATTGTTGTAAAATTTGTGAATAATGTTTTTTCTTTTTTTTTTTTTTTAAGAAATAATTATTTGAGTCTTTGAATTAGCACATCTATTGGAAGGACAAAGGGATAATACCAACTCCATCCCTTTCTCTGTAGTCCACGTAAATAGGCAGTAAGCAATTCATTTTTCTTAAATCCTGTGCTTGGCTCTCGGATCCATTCAATGACTATTTCCCTCTTTTCTTTCTTGTTCTTTCTCACAAAGTGCAATATCCAGTCAGGCCCAAGATTTGTAGCTAATTCTAAAAGGGCAAAGGTTCCACATGACTCTAGGCAACAGGAACACACACAAAAAAAATTCTGTGCCTTTGCTCCAGGCAACTGCTAGACAGAAGGTTGGGTTTTTGTTCTGTCTTGTTTGGGCTTTTTTTCCCCGAAGGAGGTAGTTCCTTTGCTCTTAACGCATTCTCATCTGTCTGGGAAAATCATATAGGGTTACTTCTTGCTCAGGTCTTCATATTCAACCCATTGCCTCGGATAGCTGCTGCTTCCAGAGCTATTGCTGTCCAAAGATGCATGTGTCCCAGGGCACCCCACATTTAGCCCAAGCTAATAAATCAAACGTATGACTGTCAATGGATTACAACCTGTTGATGTTGCTATAAATAGTTCTCAGCATTGTAAAATGTTGACTTTTTTATTACTGCGTCAAACTTCATCATTTTCTCACCAGAAGCTTGAGAGCAAGATTGCATAAAGTAAGCAACAGGAAGTCAAAAAAAAACAGTACCTGGGCTGATTCACTGGAGACCAAAGAAAAGTAAAAATACTGAATCCTATTGGTTGGCATGAAAAGTAATAGTTTCTTATTGCTGAGCTGATCCTTCCTCATCCAAAGATGACTTTAAAATCAAAGAGAGTTGTGTTTTTGTTTGTTGTTGTTGTTGTTGTTTTGTTTGAAGGGTTGCGAGTTTTGTGTCATTCTGCAGTTTGGAGAATTACTTCATGACCCTTAGCTCTGGGGTGCTCCTGAGGCAGACCCACAGCAGAATGGGTACATACACCCTGTGCCATTTGTTCTGGGCATCAGAGCTGAGAAATGGACAAGTGTGGGCTGTTTCAGTGGGTCTGTGCCCTGCTGAGTTGTTCCTGGTGATGGAAACACGTTTATGGCTGGGGCAGTTAAGCTGCTGGCTCTGGAGCTGTATTGAGCTGCTGGAGCTGTGCCAAGGATCTGGCTCAACTGATAGATTTTGTTTTCAAGTTGCATAAGCAGAAGTAACCTGCAAGGCTCGATTATTATTATTCTTATTTTTTTAGTACAGTTGTTAAGTTCAGATAGGATTACCTATATAGCAGCTACAGGGACCCATGTCGGTATTTGTCACCTTACCTTAAATGCCCTCCCTAGAATCTGCATCCTCACCTGTAGACTTTTGGGCCTGGCCTTACAGCTGGGATTCTGACCTCTACAGTCTGCAGAGCCTTGCTTGCAGAGGTTGGGGTGATGTTCACCTTCTCCTTTCGAGAAACTGTAGATTATATTCACCCCGACGTAAAACCTCTGACCTTAGCCCATAATATTTTTTTAGTACAAAATCACCCAGGTTTCATCATGAACCAAAAAGTAATTTAATAGGCTTGAACTTACAAGTGTGATATTCCCTACTTGTACTTTTTTTCCTATTGTTTGCTATACCTTTGTGTTCTTTAAAAGTTCAGTTTAGAAGTTTCTCTTCTACAAGGGTTTTTGCAAAGGCTCTGGAACATGCTTGTGTAAGGGTAAAACATACGTGTGTTGAACTGTGTGGCTGATGGCTGTTTTCAGAGCTCACAGCAGGACCAAGTGTGGGATCTGGGAAGGTTATGTTAAAGAGGAGATGGAAAACTTCCCTTCTGCATTCCCTACTGCTGCAAAACCAAAACAGTTTGCAGGAGCTTGTATCCTACTCTGAACGCTTAGAAGTGAAGGACCATAAAATCGAGAGTAAGACAGGACAGGCGGACCTATGCGATACAGGGCAGTCGGGTAGTGTACAGATGCTCAGCTCTGGTGTAACGGAGACCCCCACCTCCGATCCCCCAGCAGCACCGCGCGGTCGGTGCGCCCTGCCTGGGCGCCGGGAGGCCCGCTGCGAGGCGGGTGCAGCAGAACGCGAGAGAAAGCCGGGTCGGACGGCAAACGTGCAGCGCCACGCCGCCATTTGGAGGGGAGTGAAACGGACCCCGAGGACGAGGCGAAGGCGGTTCTGCCCCAGGCGCAGCTCCCGGCGGGGTACTGCTGCGAGACGCTTCCTGCCTGCCGCCGGCGCTCGCCCCTCGGCCTGCCCGGGTTAAGCTTTAACCAAGCCTTATCGATACGGACCACGCACGCTGCCAGGCGGAGGCAGCGCGCAGCCGGCGGGGGGGCCGCTCCTCAGGCTGGCTGTGAATCCTTTTCCTCCCGCACGGAGGGACGGCGATGCCCTGGGGTGCGCGGCAGCAGCACGCCGCGATCCCCTCCTCGCCTGGGTCCGCCCGGCGCTCCCATGCCGCCGCTGCCGCCAGGGGGCGCCGCAGTCAGGCCGCCCGCCTGCCTCGCGCAGCTCTGCAGCCGGCGGGCCGGAGTGGGCACTGACCCCGCGGGACCCGGGTTGCCGCCGGGGGCTGCGGAGCGAAGGCGGGCGCTGCGTCGGGCTGGCGGCTCGGGGGCTGACGGGGGAGTTCTTTCGGTCTGGTGGATGTACGTCCGTTCCCCCGGCAGAGCAGGGCGGCAGCGGGGGCGAGAAAATGTCCGTCCCTGCCCCTCCGGGAGGGAGCCGCCGGAATGTAGGCGCCGCGGTGACACCTCGGGTGTTAAAGTCCCGCTGGTTAGTAGCGATGCCGAGCTGCTCGTGGCCGCGGAGGCAAGTAGAGGAGTTCTCGCGCATCGCTGCTTTCCCCGTCCCGCAGCTGCGGGACCGGCAGCGCGGGGCGGGGGCCGCTCGGAGGCAGCGCTGCCATGCGGTTCCCGGCTCGGCGGTGCTGCGGGCTGGGACAGCGCCGTTCCTATTCGCTTTTGCAAACCCTGTAAAAAGTTACAGCTTTCATAACGACGTTTTATTTGAGCACTGAAATATTGCATATCTCTTGGCTACAAAAATCGGTTATGAGCTCTGCGGTTGTAGATCTCACTGAGAACGTCACCACTGACATAAAATGGAGCGTTGTTTCCTGGTGTACCTTTTCCAATCTTCCTGATTTTTACAAGTTGTCCTTTTGCCAGAAGCTTCCTTAATACTGTGAAGTATCGCTGGTAAAGAGAAAAATAAAATAAAAAAAAATTGTTTTATTTCAACTTATGCCAGCTGTGAGGTGTTTTTACCCAAGCATGCATACATGCGATGTGCACGCATACTGGATAAATTCCCAGTTGCATAACAGGCAAGACGTTGAGAGTTGAGATCATACGTATGCCTTGCATTTGTATAACTGTACCTCCAGAGCAGGAAGTTCTCTCCCTGAGCCATTAGTTTTGTCATAGATGTGCAGTGCACCAACTCACAGCATCTCACAACTACCTCAATTTGGCCTTACACTTGGGTCCATCTACAGATGCATAAAGATATGTTGAACCCCTAGAAGGTGTTCTTACAGAAAAGAAACTTTTCAGATAGAATCATTTTTACATTATACCTGTGTCCACACTGTGGAGTTGTACTAGATGAGTACAACTTTCATCTCTGAATGTGGTTTAGGATCACGAAATCGTCTTTGCTTTTTGTATAGGAACTTTCTGGATGACTGAAAATTGTGACTGAAATAATTTTTAATTCCTAACTCACAGATTACTGAATCTTTAGCAATTTCGTTCTATCAGTGCTTGTGCTGAATTGGTACTAACAACAAAAGAAAATGTGTATTTTCTTTCTTGTTTATGCTCATCAGTATAATGGCACAGTAACAGTCTTACTAAATTGCTGTGAATCCTGAGCCTTCCACAGCCAGCAAGACCAAAGCAAGCACTGGATTTATCACTTCCAAGTTGTTTTCTCTGCATGTTTTGTATAAAATAAACATACTTTCAAGTGCCTGGATTTAAGAAATGTAAAAATCCCATCAGTATCTCAATTTCCTTAGAGCGTGAGGCCCCAGCAGGGGCAGTGTGACAGTGGTGTACATCTAACACATGCCTGTCCCCAGAGCTATGGGAGGAGGGAAGGTCACTGTGGGTCTGTGTCAAAGGAGCTCTCCTTTCCAGAGGATGCCCTTTGCATGTAGCATTCCCCTAAACAATATTTTGTGATGGTGACCTCCCCTCCTGTGTTAGGACTCAGTGCATCAGGTCTGGGTGCTTCTGCCAGCACCCTGCTAATACAAGCCCTTCAGGGGAAACCAAGAGGCTGAAATCAAACTGCAGGCTGTTTTGCACCCAGGACAAGACACTGCTTTATGTTTGCCCTCATCTACCTGAGCTGAAGCAGTTCCTGTGCATAAGTGCTGTGTTGGGGCCGTTCCATGGCAGGACCAGCCTGTGTGATGCCATGTGGGGAGGCATCAGGGGCACTACCAGGCAGGATGAGGCTCAATTAGCTGCTGGCTTCTTTCACACCACTTCTGCTTGGCATCTATGATCAGAATGGTGCCTAAATGGTTAATCTCTGTGCTTCAGCCTTCCTACAGCCCTCTGTGAGAAATGAGCAGCAAGACAGGAAAATAAGTTGGGTGCCAAAGCAGCCTTGTATCACATGGATAAGTCAGAATATCAGTAATGATCATGAGTCATTACATTTGTCAAACAAACAGCTCAATGAAGACCCATCATGGTGTGTATTTGGGCAGAACTCATTCCTGTTATCCTGGACTAAATGACCCAGGCTAGGGACTGGGCCAACTTTCTTCAAGTGCTACTAAGCAGCAACTACAATGCATGGATCTCTTTCCATAAGCAAACAGATTTGGTTAATCTTAGTATTACTGCAAAAAAATGTTGCAGCTGTTATATAGAAAAGACATAAAGTATAGCGACATCCTTCATACTGTAGGATCCACTCATCAGCTGACAGAGAGGTGTTCAATATAATTAATTACAATAAAGTCAATGCAAGTTTAGTAAATGGTAAGTTAGTATTGTGCAGTTCTAGATTTCTTACTCTCAGATTTGACCACATGAAGAATATCTTGTTGATTTGGACCTGAGTCTCAAACAGTTTGATGCACAGTGTTTATTCTAAAGTGCCGTACATCGCTCTGGGAGAACATACATATATAGAAGAAGGTAGCAAGTCCACCCATCTTTCATTCAGAGTCACTAATCAGTCATTGGTCATTCTAAATACTGGTTGGCAATGAGAAATCCAGCATTAGTGTCAGGAAATTACAGTAGCATCAATACTCTGTATCCTGTGCATTATAACTGTAACTAAGAAAATGCAGTACCAATCCTTTCTGAATTTAAGCTGGTTTCAGAGACACTATTAGGAAATGAAAAGTGGTTTCACAATGTGATTTTATCATTTTGTAATCAAGTCAGAGGCCAATGATACATGGTCACTGCTGCACAGTAGATGAGGTCAGAGTTCCTCCTCACTTGCATAAGGTTAGCAGCCTAAATACCTCTAATAACCCTTTCTGAGAGGAGAAAAAATAGTTATGATTAAAGGAAATCTTGAAGGAGTGTATCCCCTAATTTGTGGAGCTTTAAGGGCATTAAGCATGCATTGAAAGCAGGGAGAACTAGATGTCTAAATCCTATCAAGCTGTGGAGGGAAAAAAAAAAAAAAAAAAAAAAGGAACACAGAATAACAGAGTAGTTCTTACACAAAACACTTCAGTGCTCCCAGGGGGTTTGGTGAGACATGGGCCCTGGTACTTATTGTGGTACCAAAACTCAGCAATAGGCAAAGCAGGCTCTGGGCATGACTTACTGCTCTCCCTTCTATTACAGCAACTAAGATGCTGGGTTAAGACCATCAAGAAACTACCAAATAAATATGAATATGTCAAAAATTCATAGAACGCGGGGATTGATTCTTTACCTCCTCCTTTATTTGTCTCTTGTGAAAGCAACAAGTGCTGAATGTACCCAGTGACAGAATAAGGAATCTACTATCCCTGTGGTTACAGAACTGCTCTAAATGCATGTTGAAATACAGCTGAGCCAGAATGAAAGAAAAAATGAAATGTGCTGTGAAAAATTGCCTATACACATCTCCTTTTTTGACTGAAGCATGTTATTCATAAGCAAGTAAGTTATTAAAAACTGAGTATAGTTCCTTGCAGCCAGTAAAAGACAATAGACCAAATGTTGCTGTTACACACAGCTGGAGTGTATTGATAAAAGCAGCACATTGCATTTCCTCACATAGTTTAAAGTCTAAATAAAGATACACGATCAAAAGAATGAGTGCTCAGCAAGGTGGTGCAGAAAGGGCAAGAGGTGAACAAGTTGTATCAGTAAGTTATAAAATGCATCACCAGAGAAATAGGGTGTTTCTGCTGGGTGCCTCAAGCTTAAAGGGGAGTGAAGGTTTGTGTACGCATCATGGAAATACAGAAGTACATTTGGAAAGAAAGGGGGCTATGATGTCCTAAGAAAATCTAATTGGCTCATTACAATTGAGTTGATGCTCATATGTGTCTTACAGTTTTCTTCTTTTTTACACTCTGCAGACAACATAGAAAAACACAGAGATTATTGGTGCTATAACTGCCATTTGAGTGAACATCTCCCTAGCAATGTATCACTTCAACAAGTATGTTCATCTTTCAAGTTTATCTTTTCCACCATATGTTTTTTATAGGAGTTGAGAACCTATACAGACTTATTCAAAGTCCAGTGAAGTTCTCTAACAAAAAGCTTCTCACAGCACTTTTTTTTTTTTCAGCCAAAGCCTGAAAAAAGAAATTGGCAGCCTTTGGGAAAAAGATGAGCAAAAAAGCAAGCAAGCATGTGGCTAAACACACTCCAAGAAAAAAAAAAAAGAAAAAACAACAACTTCCCAGCTGCATGGTATTACAGGTAAAACAGGTTGGGTCAAAGTCTTATTTTTGCATGGTTCCAAGGATATGATTTGGCTAAATATTAGTTATTCCACTATAAAGTTAAGTGTGAATTTAAAGTGGCAATGCTACATTAAAATAATACCACTGCATTTGTTCCAGAATAACAGTTGTTATATATGGAATTATTTGGTAATGGTCAATGTAAATTAAACAGGTACTTTGGAGTATCTCTGTGTAAATCAGTTCTTGGTGACTTTAGGACAAGAAGAAATAGCAGAGGAGAATGGAAACCAAATCTGTGATGAAGCAGGGGGCAAGTGAAAAGTAAAACATAAGCAGAATTGTGGGGAGATTTGAAGGACCAACGGGGAAGTTGCCCTGAGCCCTGGCCAGCACTGTCCCTCATAAATTGTCCTACTGCTGTAAAGCACACAGACAAAGTGCTTCCTGAGATTTTATCCTCCTAGTTCAACTATTTTTTAAAGTTCTATGAATGAGAACTGCAACTTCACTCACTGGCAAAGGAACTCCACCCAGAATAGCTGCTAGAGTACATCTTCTAAAAACAAAAGCAGCTTTTTTACCCCTCTGTGGCAAAATCCACATCAATCAAGGTGTCTATAATCAAAGCTGTATTTTCTGCGATGTATTAAAAACACACCAAATTATTACAACACTCAAATACAATGCAAAAATGCAATAAATATTCCTATGAAAGCAAAGCGACATTTTTTTTCAGACTTCTCAGAATTATTTTCCACTACAATCTCAATGCCCCCTCAGTAGCCATTATCTAGTGCTATAGAAAATGGTTCTAGTTCCCAATGACCTCACTGGGAGCAGAGTCAGAGACTGACTTAGAGAGCTTTAAATAATGGAGCTGGAATTGGAGGTGAAAACTATGTGAACTGCTCCTCTGTATCCTGAGAATATCAGAAAGCAGTGCAGCCCTATTACTTAGTGAGGATCTGCTCATTGGGAAGTCACTGCGGGAATAATGAGGGGGGAAGAACAAGAGGAGGAGGAAAAGGTGAGAAGAAAAGAGAGAGGGCAAGGGAGAGCAAAGAGGAAAAGGGGATTTGCTTTTGATGTCACAGTTCTATCAACTCATGCATTTTTCATGGATACCAACTAATTCTGAAATAGCGCTGTGCTGACAATCCAGGCATAAGAGAAAATGAGCCCAATGCTCAGATACCATGATACTGGCTTAAAAGTAAAGATACTTTCAAAAATTATCAACTCGAGACTTTTAATTCCCTTCTAATTTGTGAGTTTCAGGTTCACATATTCAAGCTCTTCTCTCCAACTCGAGATTTAGAAATGTAATTATTTTTATGCAAGCCGAGGTTCCAATTTAATCCCATCTGCCAAGGAGTTTGAGCTGAAAACAAAGCGTAGTGTTGCAAAATCTCACTATAATCATAAGGGCTGCCAACACTAAATGTCACAACCGTGGCATACTGTAGAGTTTTGATGCAAAACTAAAATTTATGAGATGTTAGATGTGCTAGAAGTGCATTAACTGAAGTTGCATTTGTGCCATTTGCTAGTAATTAATTAAAAGCTGAAAGTGAAGTCAACTGGCAAATAAAAATAAGCTGGTGGGACTCGGAGCTAACCTGTGCTGTAGTTCAAGCTTTATATTTTGTAAACTGAGGAGAGCACTGGCATTTCTCAGTGCTTTTGATTAAAATCCGATCACTTTTTAAACAAAGCAATTAATGACTTTGAGTGTAAACATTCTTTGAGATTGCAGTCATCCGGGCTAAATGCAACGCCGATCCTTACAGGGAAGACAAACAGTCCCTGCACAGGTGCAGGAAGTAGCACAGCACCTTTATGTGCCTGAGCAGGGTTGATGCTGAAGATTCCTGCTTAGATGTCAGCCCTCAGACGCCGTCCACCTGGGTGGTTCTGGGGGGTTTCTGCAATAGTTATGTACGCTTACTGTGCAAGTGCTGGAGCTTGCGGTGGGCTCTGTGCAAACATCTCTAAGCCGGCTGTCACTTACAACATCACAATTAGACTAACACCCCTGTTTTAATTATGTATGGAAATGCCTTAAAGATAGTGAAAACGGTGAAAAAAA